CCCCCATAACGATCGCCATGCTTTCTGCTATCGAGAATCATGTGACCAGTGCGGCGGCAATCTGAATGTCGCATAATTTATTAGCTGGAAAGAAAGTTCTGCAACACTTTCTAAAATTTTCTTTTTTTTTCTGAAAAATTCATAGGTAACATTTATGACTAACAAATGGTAGAGCATTCTCGAGGCTTCAATCCACGAGGTGGATATAAGTGCTGCAGTCAGTAGTTATCCAAGAAAATTCAAAAAACCTCGACCACTAGTAAATCCGTACTCCGAGTCACTGTCTAGTACAAATGTCTCCATAACTATGGATTCGTGTCAACGACCGACACTATCTGCAATAGCTTCAATAGGCATGCCGTTCACCGCTACAGCGTGTTTCACCTTTACCAGCGCTTTCGATCTTTTGATATTTTTATAAGAAGCCAGCAGCGTCCTACACACTCCATTACAGGTAGGGCTCTTACGGAAGCTCAACTACAAATTCTTCGTTATGGGCACCATTGTGTAGGTAGAGGTCTAGGCTGCGGAACTCCAGAAGCAGCTCGTCAGGAGCCCTCGTACCGCGACAATATTCATTTCTTTCATGACATTGCGAATCACCATGATCCGAAATGAGCCCGGTAAGAAATTCTGGAGCTGCGGCAAGATTTCTTACCTCTCTTAGCGTATTCCCCTGGTCGAGCTATAAATGACTGCCACCTATCCTGGACCTTAAATCATCATCTTGATGACGAAATAATTAGACGATCAACTCCAACTCGAAAGTGAGGTCGCCTCCTTTCTCGACCCGCACTCCGCTGGGTTTTGGCAAAGGAGCATCAAGAAATTTTCTGAGCGTTGAAGACAAGTGGTGGACACTCATGGTAGATATAAGACCGGTCAGGAGTTGTAAACAAAAAAGATAAAATTAAAATCAAAAATTTGAAAAAGTGTTGCAGGACTTTCTTTCCAACCTAATGTATCTAAAATGCAAGTGTAATCATCGCATTGTTTTGTTAGTAATGTAAGTTCTTGCTCTAATCGGTTTGTTTCGTTTTTTTTTCGGTTTACTTGACATCGTTAAGAAAGGTCACGAGGCAGCTCAACCAATTAAGTGATGGTATCCCACAGACACGCCTGCCGAGGTGCGAGGCTTTTGTCGCTTTTTGCAGCGACAAAGAAGTTCCGCGCTGCGAAAAGCGCAAAAATAGCTTTTTGTCCTAGCCACCCACACCCTTTGATATGATAGCCGAGTGAGTACGACTCCCCATGACCAGGGTCAACCGGTTTACGGACTACTTGCACTTTCCCATGGTCCTGCCACGAATGGCGGAGAGCACAGACGATCAGAGAACGGCGCCTGGCTCGGCTCCAAATCCCAAGGAGGGAGGTGAGAGCCTTAGGACTAAGCCTTGTAAGGGGGAGGGACTCCGAGGTGGGTGAGCCAGTTGCATTGTTCAAGTAGTCCGTCGACCAGCGTCGGTTGGACGAAGTCCAATGTGGGGATCGCATTTCGCCCATGGGAGAGGGGGTAGACATATTCGTAGAAGTCAACGTCGCAATGCGTGGAATGATAAAATGTAACACAGATGCGAATAAAGTCCTAGGCGCAGGCTCACAGCATCGAACGATTAGAATCAAGACGTTTGCTTTCGCGACAGTAGGTGAGGGGTATAACTTTCGAGTGCTTCTCCAACTATTAACCACAAACGAGTGCATGGCGCACCTCAGAGCAGAAGAGTCTACTGCAGAAGTGTCCATATTTGACTGTTCACGTACACAAATATGCTCTACGGAGAACCAACATTTTCAAACTGAACTAATTTAGTAAAAGAGTGACCACTTGGTTAGATTGATTCTAAAGGCTAAGAAGCGTTGAGAAAAAAATTTGCCTATCGCCATTCTCGGAAAGGGTTCAGTATTTGTAGTAGTAGTATGAAGCGCAAGTTGTGCGATGTCAAGGAATCATCATGCCTCATGAAATTGCGTTTGAAGAGAGCTGTGAGTGTTGAAAACTCGTGTTTTCAGGAGTGTAGCTCAGAAAATTAAACGAAAGAAAAAAAAAAAAAAGAAAGAAAAAAGGAAAAGAACGGTCCAGCGGGACGATTTCTTGAACGGGTCATTTTGGAAACGACACCAAGTATTCATTGAAAAGCTCTAACCTTCTAGTTTTTCCAGGGGTGAAGAATTGCAAAAAGTTGAATCTGAAGAAAGTTATAACAGTTCAAAGCCAAAAAACCAGCGCTCTGCCAAAATCGGTCCGCGATTTCCCCAAAACGGTCCAACGGGACGATTTTTGACTCCATCAATTTTGAAATGAATTCAAGTATTCGTTTAGAAACTCCAAGGCTGGTGTCAGAGTCCGCGATCCGTCGCAGGTTTCGCTGATTTTCACGATTTTCGCGATTTGCGCGAAACCTGCGACGGATCGCAAAAATTGCAAGTGCCCCATTTGAACATTTGAAACACTGAATATGAAACAAGTGGAATCATGAGCAGTCGTCATTCAGCCATCACTATCAAGCAGAAGTGGCGGCAGGATTGGAGAACACCTTGCAGTATTGATCGGGCACTTGTGATTTCCGTGACCCGTCGCGTGAATCGCGCAAATCGCGAAAATCAGCGAAACCTGCGACGGATCGCGGACCAGGGTCAACCGTCACGTTCGAACATTTTCGGGATTTTTGCGACCCCCTAGCTCTCGAGGGGGTCCAGTTGCGACCCCCTGTTTTTGTTAATAAGAGTGCTAGACATGAATCCGTTGCGCCAGAAAGCGTCTGCGCGTCGTCGCGTCGGCCTTGGAGCGCGGCAGGTATCACCCGGGCGCTGGAAGAACGGGACGCGGCGAAGAAAAAATTTTAGAGGGAATAACTTTCTTGGGACGTATTTTTTTGACTTGTTGAGGTAGATTTTGATTGTGCCTGAGGTGCGCTTTCAGAAAACTACAAGGATTGCCTAACTCTCCGGAAAGTACTTCTGTTAGAAGTGGAAAACCCAAAATTCTAAGAAGGCGCACCTTCAACTTTGAAGGCCCATAAAATCTTTCGTATGCGACATTTTGGAAAGCTGTAAAAAGTTTCAGAAACTTCAAATATTTCTCTAACAAAACAGTATAAAAAGTTTAGTGATTGTCCCCTTTTTCAAAAAATTGTCCCGTTCGAACATTTTTCGTGCAAAAGCGAGTTTTTGGGCTTTCAGCGACCATAACTCACTTCATTTTCATTTCTGTGATGCACTTTTTTCATGGGGTGAAGTACAGGATTTGCTCTTTCTAACAAGCACCAAACCGTTTTTCAAAATCCATTTTCCGAGAAAATCACACGTTCGAACATTTTGTTCCCATAGGTTTTTGAGCAGCACATGCGAGTTTTTGAGCTTTCAGCAATAATAACTTCCTTCAAAGAACTTGTTGGGGAGGGGCGAAGACATTTTTGAAGACTACGAGATTTCTGCTTTCTTATGTGTTTTACCGTTGTCTGGAAGAATCGTCCTCAGAAAATCAGGTCCCGAAGAACTTTAATTTCAGCCCCGAGAAGTCAAACCTTTCATAGGGATGCATTCAACTGTTCTTTATTCCTCAAGGAAAACACCGTAATTTGCCTAAAACTGTCTCTCTGTGCATATAAATCGAATCTAATGCGGTCTGCACAAACAATTCTTGCCCTCGGATACGCCACGCACGCGCCTGTGGCTGGCAGTCCTCGAAATTGCGACCCCCTTCCGACCAAAATGCGACCCCTTCGTTCGAACAGTTCGAACGGACGGTTGACCCTGTCGCGGACTCTGAGACCAGTCTAACATTCTAGTTTTTTTTTTCAGGTGGACAAGAATAGCGAAAGGTTGGATCTGAAGAAAGGTTTAGTTATTGAAAGCCGAAAAACCCACTTGTATAAAAAACGGTCAAGCGCGGCTTTTTTATGGAAATTTATAAAAGTTGAGTAATTTCTAGAGAGAAAACTATTTAGAGCTATGAAATTTCCTACTACTTCTCACGCTTTATTTGAAGAAAATTACAACCTTTCAAATGAGTAAGTAACATTTTTGTGAATTCATAATTGCCTGCCCCATAACTGACAAGGTTTGAAGATACTGAATAAACCTGGTAGTTTTTTGAAACTGTCAGCCTCGCAGATTACTTATTTACCTAGCATTTTGAGAAATATTGATATTGAACAGGATCAGCCACTCAAACTATAGGCTAATCTGTTCGACTACTGATGAAGGCAGTTCGTTTCATGATTTCGTGCTTATCAGAAAACTACTCAAGCTCATGTCTGCTACTTGTGTTCGAATTCAAACTACGTGCCTTATATTGCTATTTCACGTGATGTTGGCCTTTTCCTTAGCAGTGTACAGCACATAATAAGTGCTGGGGGGGGGGGGGTTGGCATTTCGAGACTCTCCAAGAGGAGGGGTCGTAAAATTTTTGACACTAGTACAACGTGACGGTTGCCTGCCCGTGACCCATACTACAAATTTGTAGGGTGGGTCATTTCCTCGACTGATATTCACCCTGATTAGGAGTGTGTGAGATAGCGGATGAGTGGCTCCCTTCTTTCTAGGGCCCGTATCCTATCTTCCCCAAAAGGGTCGCATCCCAAGCCGCTGGTTTTATCCTACGGCTGGGAGAGACAGAGTTACGTCATAGGACTCGTCATTGAACGCGTGACATTGTAGCTACACCCCCCCCCCCTTGTTGAGGCATTCTTTCTCAGAAGTCGCGCTGTCTGGAGTCTAGAAACGCAGAATATGGCGGGCCTTACGACACAATCCTGCCTCCCCAGCTGCAGGATAGGATCAGCGGCGGGAGACGCGTCCTGCTGCGGGAAGGATGGGATACGGTCCAGGCTTAGCCTTGACCGTATCCCATCAGTAAGAGGGCTCAGATAGCAGGAATTAGGCAACAAAGGTATGAGGTTAAAAGCGAATGTCGAATTAGTAATCGGGCGTCATGTTCCCCTATCCGTTGTATCCTATGTTCTCATGATACACTCCCCACTAGTGGTCTATTTGCAGGGAATTCGGGTAGCCCCACTCAGCTAGTGGCGAATTTTGTCACAATTGAGCAGTGCCCGGAACTTGTTGTGTGTCAGTACCATGTCGAATTCAAACCCGACATCGACTCAAAAAACTTTCGGCACGCTATTCTCAAACAGAAGAGCATCCAGGATGAAATAGGGAACGCCTTCATTTTCGACGGAATGATTCTATACATAGTAAGCAGCTACAATTATGAGGTGAGCCGTTGGTTGGTGTTGCAAGGCTTTTCGTAGGAATCTAAGAAATTTAGGGAAAGTATTCCGCTGTCCATCCAAGCACAGAGCAACCAGTCACTGTTTCACTCAAGGCATCTGTGCGATTCAGTCAGAATGATTCGCAAACTATAAATTGCTACAATATCATTATCCGCAGGTTGGCAAGTATCCTTCTATATATGTAATTCGCTAAGTATGTCTGTGCGTGTGTGTGTAGGTCTGTGTGTGTGTGTGCGTGTGTTTGTCACGAAATCCATGGCGAGCGTACCAACAGTCGTCGGGAGCTGATTTCAAGACATGATATAAGGGGTCGCACGGTAGCATCTCTGGTTCATAATAGGTCGCTTGCATTGTTCGTGACACTCTACAAGAGTTGAGCCTTTTTAGTTGCCTTGACATGGTCGGACTGAAACGCTTGGGTCGGAATCATTTCTATGAGAAGCAGAAAAGCAAGCTTCGTGACTACAACATGGAAGTGTGGCCAGGATTTGAGACTGCCGTCCGCCAATACGAGGATCAACTGATGCTCTGTATTGAAAACCGTTTCAAAATGATTCGAACTGAATCAGTGTGGGACGTGGTGAGTTTCTGATTGAAAAGCGTTGTGCAATGAAACTATACTAGCTAAAAGGTGATGCGATTTCTTGAAGCTTTTTTTTGCTAATCAAATAGTTAGGTTTTCAATGAGCTCCCAGGCAAAGGTATACCGACTATACTCCATCGTTTGCCTTTTCTTTTCATCGTACAGTATAAACGCAGTAGTCCGTCGATCTGTTGCCTTTGCGTTTTATCATTCTTCTACATTTTCTTTCGTATTCACGCATTTTCTTGACCTCTGCATCTTTTTTGTTTTTCTCCACCTCTTATCGCACATTCGTACCTTTTTTTTTACTTTGCTTTCTGATTGCAGCATACTACTGATGAAGCTGATATAATCTCCGTAATAGAAATGGTTTCCACAAGGATGCTGGTTTATAAAAGCATTCGCCCAGAGGACATTCGAGCCCGCACCTCTCGCTTACGTAGCAAGTGCGCTACAAGCTACGCTACCGGGCACCGTTTTGCCCTAACTCATCCATGCTATAAGCGATGGTAAATATGCAATGAAAAGCTGTAACGCATTTGCCCGGTAAACGGGTGGTTCGAGTTGGTGTCCCGTGTGGGCGGAAGTTTTGTTCATAACTCAGCATTCTTGAAAAGCATTCGCAAAACTGCGGCGTTAACACAGCATTTAACAAACAAAACAAATCAAAGTGGTTTTGTTATATCGCCATTACCTTATACTGACTCACACAATCACATGATCAAGTTCAAAAATATTACGTTCATGAACATGTCACTTGAGGCGCGCAGTCAGTTAGGAGGGATTGAGGTAGTTGCTTTCCCTTTCTTCACGTTGCTTCACGTTGTTATGAGGGTAGTGGGAGGGATACCGGTTCTACCGAAGAAGTCTGGGGAAATGGAAATAACGAGCAGAAAATGCGGTTGGAATGGACGGGACGATCCTATTAACTATCAAGCGCTTCGTCTGTCGTCGTTCTGGATTTCTGTCACGAAATTCCCTAGCTCCTGGAGATACCGTATGGAGGGACGTGTGGGATGGGTGAGCTAGGTCTCGAGAAGTACAAAACATGTAACAGTAAGCGGAGCCCCGCCCACTGTGAGGCGTGGCGTGCACCGGAATGAGCGGCACTGACGACCAAAATTTTAAATTCTATTACAAACTATTATAGTTTCGAAACTGGGGAAAAAGTGGGCAAAGGTGTGCACTGGTAAGAGTGGACGAACTAAGGAGTTCCACCTCTGGTAGGCGGGGCGTTTCCTACAAAAGCAGTGCTTTGTAAAAAAAATTCGTAACTCGTTATGAAGAAGGCCAACAGAACAGAAAAATTGGTTCAGAGAAGCAATGGCTAAGGTGTTCTCAACATAAATGGCGTGGGCGAAGGCCCATCCACAATGGGTGGGGCGTGCCCTCAAGTACACAGCGTTTCCTACAAGTCACCATAATTGGATTCCGAGAAGCCGTGAGAGGTTGGAAAAAGGTGAATAGAGGTCAGAGAAGGAGAGGCTGAATCTTAGTATTGGCGTGGCTAGCACAAAAGGGCGCGAGGTTTGCTACTAGACCTATAACTCGGTCCTGAGAAGTCTTGTAGACTGCAAAAAAGTAGGTAGAGGTCGGCGATGGGAACCTGGGTAACCGTCGTCAGTGGGCGGGCTTGCAACGAGGTAGACCTAGTTATCCACGACAGATTATGACTAGGTTTCAAGAAGTCATGGAAACCGGGAAAAGCGAGTAGAGGTTGGAGAAGGAAGGAGGTGGACTGTCTTTGGTAGGCGAAGCTTTCATCAAAATGGGCGGAGTTTGCAGGTGAACTCGGTCTCCCAGACCCAACTCGGTTCTAAGAAGTCCCGGAAACCTGTAAAAAGAGTGGATAAAGGTCGGCGATGGGAACAAGGTTATTTGCTATTAGTGGGCGGGGCATGCACCAAGTGGGCGGAGTTTGTCGCGAAACTCATAACTCCGTTCCAAGAAGTCATGAAGATCGGGAGAAGAAGTTGTAGCGTTAGTTTATGGAATAGAGTCAACTTTCTTCTATAGGTGAGCGGGACATGCACCAAAGCTGGTGGAGCTTGCCAAGAAACTTCGTTATTCCGCTCCAAGAGGTCTCGGAAACCGTTAAAAAAGGGTTAGAGATCGGCGAAGGGATAGGGGTCAACTGATTGGGAAAAATCGGGAAAAGAGTGAAGGGAGGGAGGTGAATTTTTAACGGTGTGTGAATATGCACAACAAAAGCGAAGATTGTTGCTAAACATGTAAACCGGTTCGTAGACCGAATTAAATCGGGCACTTTTTGATTCTGAAGATACCATGGAAAAAGCGGGGAGAAGTTGGCGAGAAAGGAAAAGAGGTGCAATGAAAAGGCGGGGTTTACCACAAGGTTTATAAATCCGTAGAGACAGTCTGGGCAGCGGCGAAAAGCGGACAGTGTTTGACGAAGGAGGTAAGGTGAGAGGCCCTCAGTGGACGGGACTTGCAACAAGAGGATAGAATCAAGCTTTGAAATGAAATATCCGTATGAATCCTGTCAAATTTAAGAGTTTGCGCCGCACCATTCCATATCGCCGAAAACTGTGTTGTGTGCGCAACAGCATGCGGTGCCAATCGGTGTTGAAAATATGGTGATATGCAGTGATATAAAGGGATCATTTCCTCCAGTAAATGATTTATACAACTGTCTCCGATCCGCACAACTCATGAGAGGTAACATTATTGGCAAACAGAGGCTGTGTCTTGTTAGCATAGCTGCTAGCACCAAAAAGAATACTAATAATTAGAAACATCTTGAAGATTTAACGATTTGCAAAAGGTAATCAGAGAACTGGGTAAAATGGCGAACTATACCTGGTACGGCGTTTTTTACAATTGGCGTTCTGTCAACTTTATATGTAATTGACAGGCGAATTTCAGATGAACTATGAGCTGGAGAAAGTGAATAAAGACATTGAGAAGTTCCACATGAAAATGGAGGAACTATTCGTCGGAGAAACAGTTTTTGCTCGGTCCGTTTCCAGGCATCATTCCAATAGCATTTCATTTCTATTTGGAAATGAATTTTGGTGTGCGTAGGAGTCAGGGTGTACATTGTAGAAATAGATAAGAATAATTAATTGTAATGGTGAATTGTACTTCAGCCTCCAGGTTGTTAAGGTGGAAAATTTATTCTGGCCAACGTTTCGACCGTTCCGTCGTTTTCAAGGCCTGAACATGGCTCAAAGCTTAAGAAGTGCACACTACCTATCGAATGCCTCCTCCCTCTAGCGTTTCTGACGTTCCTTTCATAATTTGCGAACGTGTTTGTCCGCTATACTGAAACTGTATAAGAAAAGCTAACATCATCCGCTACTAATCAACTGACTGAGTGTAGTGCTTTGCTACACTTGTAGGGTGGAACAAAGTGAGCTTATCTTTGAGTTCTGGGGTTTTCCGTGCGTTCCTGACAGGACGTCAGAAACGCTAAGGAGGAGGAGGCGTTTGGTAGGGTAGTGTGCATTCTTAAGCTTTGAGCCATGTTTAGGCCTTTGAAAACGACGGGACAGTCGAAACGTTGCCCAGAAAAACTTTCCCCTAACAATCTCGAGGCACAAGCGCAACTCACTATTACAGTAACAGCGACGAAAAGCGGAGGTTTCGAGACGAGTTTGGAATTCATTGCAAAACAGATCCTGTAATTTATCCTAGTTATAATTTTTTATTCACAATGTTTTGTTAACTGTGGCTGTTTTCAGTTATAATAACAAAATGTATCGAGTATCTGGGATTGAGTACAATATGTCACCTGACTCGACATTCACTTTGAATAATGGGTCTGTGACTACATTAAAAAATTATTTTGAGAACCAGTACAGCCTTATCATCAGGGCTAATCGTCAACCTGTGCTGGTAAGCAGTGTTTGAACGATCATTGTAGCCAACTTCATGAATAACACTCATTTCTCCTAACGCTAACAATCAATCGTTCAATCATCAACAATTTGTACGTTTTGTAGATTAGTGAAGGAAAAAGCAAGCAGCCAAATGGTGCGCCACAGTATGCCTACTTGCTACCGGAGTTATGTTACCCGACTGGCCTCACCGATGCTATGCGGAAAGACTTCAAGCACATGAGGGAACTGTCAAGGCACACACGATTAGATCCTGAAAAGAGACGTCAGACGACCGAAACGCTGCTGACAATGATTCACAACAATGAGAAGTGCTGTGCTTTGTTGGAGCGCTGGGGTATCCATTTGGACAGAAGGCTCGTCTCATTTAAATCCAGAGAACTGGATCCAGAGAGGGTAGGTTTCATCAACATCTTCCAGATTTACTGTGATCCCACACATATTGGTTCGGTCTAGTTCTGTCATTGATTGTGTAACAAGCGATTGCGATCGTCTGAAATTTTTCTTCTACGTCGGTTTATTTATATTTTAACAGCTCTTTGGACTAGAGAAGGGAGGATACCTTGGATATCGAGCCGAATGGGCTAAAAGCGTGCGAAATAATGGAAACTTTCGCGGTGTTACCTTGCGGAATTGGGTGGTGATTACACCAAACACCGCGGAGGGGGATCGCCTTTCCACCTTGTTCATTGGTCAGTTTTTTCCTATGCAGACGATTTGTTTCTTAACCTAGGAATCCAGATTCGGGTTCACTATTGGTTATGTGATATTCATGGTTACAGATGAGGTTAAACAAGTCGGAGAAGTGATGAGAATTCAAGTCAATTACCCAATGTTACAAATTTGCAAGGATTCGTCTCCAGCGTCCTACCACGAAGCCGTAAGAGAGGCGATTGCAAGAGTAAGTTTCACAGTGTACAGTAGCGAAAGTAGCCGAAAATCTGTCAACAAATTCACGACGCTGGTGACTATTAGAGCTACCAGCGTTGCTCGCTTGCTGACCGCGTCAGGGAGCCATGAGGTTTTTTTTACATTGTTCACACGTAAATACTGTAGTGCTCCTTATTCATTTCTATATTTCTGGATGGATATGGGAATTCGCTAACTGTACATACGTTTAGAATGGCTCTTTTCAGGCTGGACGGCAGCCCATACACATGATAGTTCTGATACTGTCAGATGACAACAAGGCTCGATACGATTCGCTTAAGGGCTGGCTCTGCTCGGAAACGAATAGTGAGATTTGCCTCCTATCCCTTGCACTCATTGGTACTCTACTAGGTAGTAATACTTCGATATCCTCTTGCAGTTCCCTCTCAGTGTGTGCAAATGGGTACGCTACGTGGACGTCACAATGACGGAGGTCGCAATAAGAACTTTGGATCAATTGTTCTTAAGATTGTTCTTCAAATGAACTGTAAAATGGGTGGCGCTCTTTGGAAGGTCAACATTCCGGTATGTGGTACTTTGCACTCATTAACTAATGCTTCTCGCAATGCTTGTCAGTACCGCAGTATTTGAGGAACTTGTTTTATTCACGCGAGTTTTTCATTCTATCAAACTTTTTTTGTTATTTGCGAACGTTCCTGCTGGTGTGAAGCATTAATCCATCGGTTTATCTTCATTTTCCTAAAGTTGTTGTCCAGTTATTGTCAAATGCTGTTTCTCTAAAGCTTTTCGGCTGTCCGGTTCTATGTCCGGCAGCAGGCAGATCACATTATACAAAACCGAGATTGTCTAGTCATTACTTATTAGGTCGATCTTTGGGATGTATGTTTAGGCAGGTGATATCTGCCGCTACAGCGGCGTCGGAATGCCTTCATTGAAGTACATAGTTGTACCAAAAGAGTCGGGTGGCAGAACTGAGTCTGCAGTCGGCTGGATCTTAATTTGCCTCGAATTGTTCACGACGGATGCGATCTTGTCAAGTGTGTCCCAAGCTTATAGCTCACATGCTCCCCTATCCCTAGCTCCGCTTGCTGGTGTGCAGGTCATACTGGGCTTCGGCAATGTGGGGCCGGTTAGCCAGACTTCTTCAATACAATGCCTGCGCCCGCCTCGAGCATTCCTTTACCGTGAGACCTTTACTAATCCCTTGTCAACCCCGTCATCTTCCTTGGTTTTTCCGTTACCTTTCCTTCTCTCAACTAGATTTGGATTTCCTACCAATTTTAGCTTGCACAGATTGGGGCACTTTACCTCTTCTCCCCACCGTTAGTCCTGCGCAGTCGCAGGGCCCGCTATACTATGCCATGGAATTGAACTCAAAATTAAGGCTCAGAAAAGCGATTAGTGTTTGATCAGCACGCTCAAGGGTTACTCCTCGGTCCTCGATAATATTGAACGCGACCCTTAAAATTTTCGAGGTGAACTCCTAAAATTATTAGGTTGTCTCATAAATAGTGTCGCTTTTTTTCAACCAAAAAATTTTCATCTAAATCCCCATGCTTTTACATCGAGTCATATACCATTCGAAAGAGAATTGTCTGCTCTACAAGATGCTGTGTTCCCTTCCACTATGTTCCAGGTTTTCAAATTTTAGGCCTGCGAAATGGGAGGTCCCGCCGACAAAAATTGACCAAACCGACAACTAGCTCTAACTTTATTTTCCCTGGGAGAAATCAATCAATGATGTACCCTCTACTTACTCATGACCTCTTCTGAACATTCCACCCTTAGGTTGCCGAAAAAGGTTTGCCCTGTTTCTTTTCGAATTGGCTGACCGATAAGCCATGGCAATTTTCAAATTGAAATTCTTCCTCTGAAACGCTATTGTTTTATATCAACTGGTGTTCCTTTTGTGAGCACTTCTTCTGCTCTATTCGCTCATTTGTTTTGTTTTAATGTTTGTTGGAATTAGCTTCGAATTTTAGGTGTTTAGGAGTAAGGTGCTTTATCCACGAAAGTGACCGCATTTCTTTGAAAAAAATTATCCCTGAGAAGATGAGAAAATCAACCAGGCGTACATTCCTAACTTAGTCATGACTTGTTCTTAAATTCTACTAGTTTTTCAATGTCTCGGCTATAAAAAAATTTCGACCTAGATCTCAGGTAATGGTGCTCGACCGTCGAGTTCTGGTTGAAAAACCAGGTCTGGAAATGGAATGACGCGACTTGTTGGGAAACCTAATAGTGTAATGTTTAGAAGAGGTCATGCATAAGTAGAGGGTACATCATTGATTGATTTCTCCCAAGGGAAGATAAAGTTAGAGATATTAGGTTGGAAAGAAAGTCCTGCAACACTTTTTCAAATTTTTGATTTTAATTTTATCTTTTTTGGTTACAACTCCTGACCGGTCTTATATCTACCATGAGTGTCCACCACTTGTCTTCAACGCTCAGAAAATTTCTTGATGCTCCTTTGCCAAAACCCAGCGGAGTGCGGGTCGAGAAAGGAGGCGACCTCACTTTCGAGTTGGAGTTGATCGTCTAATTATTTCGTTATCAAGATGATGATTAAAGGTCCAGGATAGGTGCAGTCATTTATAGCTCGACCAGGGGAATACGCTAAGAGAGGTAAGAAATCTTGCCGCAACTCCAGAATTTCTTACCGGGCTCATTTCGGATCATGGTGATTCGCAATGTCATGAAAGAAATGAATATTGTCGCGGTACGAGGGCTCTTGACGAGCTGCCTCGGCCAGCTTCTGGTATTCCACAGCCTAGGCCTCTACCTACACAATGGTGCCCATAACGAAGAATATGTAGTGGAGCTTCTGTAAGAGCCCTACCTGTAATGGAGTGTGAGGGACGCTGCTGGCTTCTTATAAAAATATCAAAAGATCGAAAGCGCTGGTAAAGGTGAAACACGCTGTAGCGGTGAACGGCATGCCTATTGAAGCTATTGCAGATAGTGTCAGTCGTTGACACGAATCCATAGTTTTGGAGACATTTGTACTAGACAGTGACTCGGAGTACGGATTTACTAGTGGTCGAGGTTTTTTGAATTTTCTTGGATAACTACTGACTGCAGCACTTATATCCACCTCGTGGATTGAAGCCTCGAGAATGCTCTACCATTTGTTAGTCATAAATGTTACCTATGAATTTTTCAGAAAAAAAGAAAATTTTGGAAAGAGTGTTGCAGAACTTTCTTTCCAACCTAATAGTTGTCGGTTTGGTCAATTTTTGTCGGCTGGACCTCCCATTTCGCAGGCCTAAAATTTGAAAACCCTGGAACATAGATGGAAGAAGAACATAGCATCTTGTAGAGCAGACAATTCTCTTTCGAATGGTATATGAACGATGTAAAAGCATGGGGATTTATAAAAATTTTTTGGTTGAAAAAAAAAGCGACACTATTTAT